GCCTCAGCATTCCCCCGGAGGAGCTGGAGGAAGTGTCTGGAGAGAGGGAAGTCTGGGCATCTTTGCTTAGACTGCTGCCCCCGCGACCCGGTCACGGATAAGCGGAGGAAAATGGATGGATGGATGGAATTACAACAGAATTACTGGCCAAACTTTTTTATTCTGCTTTAATTTTGGTGGTATTTACTAGTAATTTCTGCTTATTCATAAACAACAACTAGGCTACTCATTGCATAATTATTCCTGGCTATATAACTATGTATGCACCATGAAAACCAGCTGGCTACAAAAATATATTTTACCTCAATATTTAGCTCACCATGCATCACTATTATATCAGTATTCTGGCTCCTGACAAACGCTATGGATCAAACTTCTGATGAGATTATGATCCTCTTTAATCAAGATACTGTATGTCATAAGGGTGGCCCTCATCGTCTGCACTGATTCTAGCTGGTAAGTCCTAAAGCTGAGGCTGCGAGGGGGGGAAAACACTCAGGGAACCTGTCAACCTGATGTGACTGGACAGCTGATGATGAGGTGACCAGAATAGCAGTTAGCTCTGGTAGCTTTCTAACAGGGTTGCATGGCAGCTAAGACCAGTTACTTTGGACACTGATTGAGCTACTTGACTTGATCATGTAATTGCTTTGTGAGAGCTGAGAATGGTTCTGTTGCTAAATAGGTGTATTCAAATTGATTATAGTAAATTTCTCATTTCTTAGACAAGGGAGAAAAATCTGAGAAAGTAAATGTCACCATCACTCTTCAGTTATCTATTGTATGTATTATACCATAGTTTATCATTATTCCATTTGTTATGACCACTGTATTTGAGGAGCTTGTGTGTTTATTGATATTTGGTCTCCCTTCCTGCCTTAGCTTGAAACTCTTGTCTGGCACTTTTCCAGTTGGCTTCCCTTTTAACAGAGGATACTGCCTCTCAGCATGGTTCCAAACAATGAATACAATGCAGTCCATGGGCAGAGCCGGGGGGTGGCCAGGGGTGGCACCGACCACCCCCACAATCCAATTGGCCACCCCTGGTGCCACCCCTGCCAGAGTCAAAATGTGATTCTTGTCAGTATTAATGGAAAAAAAAACAACAACGACAAATTGTTGCCTTAAATACAGTACAGCTAACAGTTTTCTGGTGCAGGGGTTCCTTACCGTCCTTTGCATCTTGTCCTCCAAATCCTGGTTGATCCTCTGAAGAGCTGTAAAGCCACTCTGGATCCTAAAAGACAAGAAACAAAATGTGACCTGTTAATAATGTAAATCACAGCATCTGATAACTAGAAAGCATTTGACTGCTCATAAACCCGAATATCCTCCAGTAATGTGCACAGAAAATATGACAGAGAAAGAAATAAGTCGATCAGAGGGGACTTAAAGATATTTTAAGTACTGAGTCAGATTTGAAGATCAGTCAGGATAAAAATCTCCTGAGCTAAAACACAGCAAAAAAAAAAAAAGGATGAGAGTTTGATATGTCAATGTGCCACAGCAGTTGATAGTGTGAAAAACGTATCAAAAAAAGTTTTAAGTTCTAAAATGTTTTTATAGAAAATCACACACAAGTGGACCCATAGCATTGATTCTGCACTGACAATGATACTGATACTGACAATGATGTTTTAAGCCGTTTTGTTTTCTGTTTAAACCCTCTCTTGCTTTGTATTTTAACACTTCCTGCTATTTCTCTCTGATCATTTCTCTCATCACTATTGCCCTTTCAAAGACTTCTCACGCAATAATGAGCTTAATGAAACAAGACCTCAGACTCTCTTGCTGCATTTCCACTATTGGAACCTAATGAGTGATATACCCGGGGGCGGGGGGATTTGATTGATTTTGGTACTACCTCGAGGAGTGCCAAAATTTAGCTCTCAGCTAAACGCACCTCTGAAACGGGCCAAGTGTAGTATAGACAACCAGTGCCTTCGATGAGCCTTGATTGTCATAAGACATTTCAGTAAGTTCCTAGAATTGAAAAACCCCTTTTGTTTGTCTACTTGTTCCTTGTCTTGTTTTTTTTTTTTTTTTTTTAACCAGGTCAACATCAGTATCACATTTTCACATTAGCTCTCAGTAGAGGGGAGTGTTGATACCAGCATTTATGGCTCCATTAACCAGACTGATAAGGAGAGTGTGGGCAGTGGAGACTAAAAGCAAAGACACCGTAAAGCAAAGAGCTGAAAGAGATTCAAGAAGGTAAAGAAGGAGCGTCACTGGGAATGATGGTGGTTTGCTGATTGATGGAGAACAGACGTTTAAAACCTGCTGCAACACTGAGTACTGTTACTCACGTAAGAGGAGCAGAAGGAAATGGAGCATTTATCACATTTATTTGATCCATGTCCACAGAGCACTCTGTTCTGCCTGACCAGAAGGTTTGCAAATAATCTTGCTGCTCTGAGGTTGTCATCATGCTGCTAAATTAAAACTCCTAGCTGGAAGGGCAGCCCTCTATTTGTTATTGGGACATAGCTTCCTCTCTTAATATTTATCCCAGAGTTGTCAGCAGTAGTGCCAAAAATAATGTTTGTATTTATAGAGCACACTGCAATGAAGTATTAATGAATTACATTATATATGTTTTCATTCTCCTTTTCTACAGTCTCTGCACATTTCAGTATGTTTAAAATTAAGGAAACTATGGAAAAGGTGTGGTTAGTTTTTGTCAACAAAAATACTTCAAGGTTAAGGTGAAGGGGAGAGATCATAGTTACAGTTAGAGTAACAAAAAGGTGTGGAATCACAAAATATTCATTATTTACTAAGGTTACTGGGCTGGAAAAAGGGCCTATTTACTTAAAAATACCCATAAACCACCACACTGTCCAAGGCTTAGAAAGACACAAAAGGTACAGTATATAGGAGAAAATACCAATATTCAATATAAATTGAAATCTTTTTTTCATCATACAAAACGGATCATCTGCATAAAAACCATTCTGTATATGGCTAATGGCATTGATATGCTTCAGGAGAATTGCTTTTAGGGTCACTGAACATCATTAGAACCCCCCCCCCCCTTGTAATTTCAGAAGGCTGTGCCACAGAACTTTTGTAGCTTTCTGAAATATACAAGGCAGCATGCACATCTGCTTCACACAGCATTTGTTTGGAGGCAACAAGATTATCTCCTCTCTTACCTTCTAATTTTTCACTTTTAACAACCATTTCAGCTACTTTTCATGTGTACAAACAACTGCAACACTGTGAAAGTGTGTGCCATTATTTGAACATGGTATCTATGATGCCACGTTTTTACCTTAAAGTATGGCTATAAAAACTTGTGCTTTGGATAATCAAAATATTTTCCAATAATGTTCCCCATAGGCTGCTATGGCTTTTAAACAGCAGGATGCATCTTGACAGCAGATGCATATATAAATAGGCAACCAGCCCACAGAGTCATGCATATGTGTACACACACACACACACACACCTGCGTAGTTTCTCTGTAAATTTCTCCAGTTCCTCCTGGGCCCGGCGCAGCTCTGTCTCGAGATACTGCCGAGTCGACTCGAACTCTGTTTCCACCATCTCTAGTTTGTGGGTGGTGTAAGACAGGCGCTTACGGAGGTCATCCTTGTGGTCGTGGAAAGAGCTGAACAGGCGGCAGAGGGAGTTTAGAGAACATGATTCAAGAAGACACAGTCACAACACTGATATACTTTCATTGCTGTCAAAGTTTGTCAGATTCCTAGAGCATAGCGGAGAGAGGGAGTGTAGAGAAAGAAAACAGAGACAGACACCAGCAGAAAAGGCAATATGAGAGGGAGGGAAAGGGATGAAGTGTAGCTGTAATTCAGTTTGGAGTGAGAGAGGTCCCAGGCAGGGGGGAAAGCAGTGAGGCTGATAGGAAGATGGATGGAGGAGGAATACTAATCGTTTCCCATTCACAAGAAAGGTGCAGAGCTAGGACAGGAGCTCCCATTGGTGCAATGGTGGCTTCCATTACACCCACTTCATTGAAGAAGAAGTGAAAATATAGATTGAACCACAACTTTGACTGAGAGAAAGCTTTAAAACGGGGTGAAATAGAAAGAAAGGGCATGAGAGAGCGAGTGAGAAGCCAGAGTAGCTCAGCTTCACCACCACCACCACCACCACCAACACATGAGACGGAGTAATATTTCGGTTGCGCATTCGATGCAGGTTTGAGCGTGGAGGGATGGAAACACACTGACAGGACTGACTGAGGAAAGGGATGTGGTAATGAAAGGCTAGAGATGGGGAGCAGGGACAGTGTGTGATCTGGGGGATGTAGCGTTTTGCCAGACTGATGGGTACTTGGCTCACAAAGAGGTTTGAGGGCTCAGCGCTGCCAGCCTTACTAACTGGGGACTTGGTTGAAGATCTCCACAAATGAAGCCTTCACCAAGCAGTAAAAAGTCAGTATATAAGTAGTCAAGTAAACATAAATGTACAACAACAACAACAACAACAACATGTGGTTCTACAGGATGAAACTATTTCTGGGCAAACAGATGGGATACGATATGCTGGGCATTAATTTGTATAACCACAAATTACTGTTTTGACTGTTTGTGTACAGTATAAAAATACCAAATGCAATGTGATCATTTTTTGCCCACAAAAAGACTAAACTCCAAATGTTGTTTGATGCCGGTACCTGACAGCCCAAACATTCAAGGCAGCTGAATGAACTGCTGTCATCTTCCAATCCCACTCTTGCAAAGAAGGCAAAACAGTGAAATAGTCCTCAACAGGCAGATTAGATAGACAGCTAGTTTGTGTCCACTACACGGAGGCTTGCAGCTTCTGCCCACCATCCAGCTAAACAAAATCTTGACAACCTCTCCACTGTCTAACAGCAGCAAGTGTTGTAAATTCACATGGCAAGGAGCCAGGGAGCTATTGTAAGTACATGTGAAAATTGCTCTGGGCTCTTATCACAAAGTAATGCCAGTTTAATTAAGTCTGAGCCAGCAGCCATTGATTGGTTACATTTATGGTCCATGTCCAGATGTATAAGAATTCATTTGGACGTAGATCGTAGCTGACACATGACAAGAGATATAAAGTGGAATGATGGGAATGAATAGATGCCACAATACGTTTTATAAAGACTTCTTAATGGTAATGACCTCCCAGTGAGCATTAAATGAAATGAACTCCCTAATGTTTAGAATTTAAAACACTCCCCAAAACGACTCATCTTACCTTCTTTTCTGATGTTTGCAACCATTTCTCTGGGTTTTCAGGGCAGTTTTGCCAATATATATCTTTTTCATATTTTTCCCTCTGCCTCAGCTCTCATGTGTGTATAGTTGTTGCCTCTTCTGCTGCTGGTCAGCTGAATGCTGAAGCCAAGTTTAACCACAAACCAACAGTCAAAGCTCTAAGTCTTGCCTGGGGAAGCAGATAGGAGCTGGCTATCTGTGATGACCCTGGCAAGAGAGCAGAGGAAAAACAGCTTTGAAGCTCCACAGATTTAGCAGCACATTTAGTTCTGATGACTCCTGAGGAAAATGTACATTTTGTGTGTATGCAGAAAAGTAGCATGACAGAGCAGCGGTGGGGGATCAATTAGATACGTTCAGTAAACAAACTTAAACAGTACACCATACTTTGAACACCCTCAGGTGAACTTCGTGTGGTGACCTTTTAATAGTTCAAAGATCTTTTTTCAATTTCAAGTACTTTTAAATTTCAAAACTAACTCTACAACACAAGTTACACAGGTAAAGGAACAATAACAAAGAATGTTGAAAGATTTTTATAATTTAAGCCTCTTTTGTCATGACTTTCCTTCTCTTCCTTGTTGGGAACATTTGAATGGAGCTGTCACAAACTGCAGATCCATGCGGAATAGAGTTATTGGCCAGCTGACCACAGAGGTTAACCCTCAGTAAATATACGTTATGATGGATGAATGTATGTGGCCATTTCTATCCATCATTGTTGCTTTTCGATGTAGGGGCTTGAACCCAGGTCTCCTGCACCGCAACAGTTTAATTACCTGCCAGTGCTAAGCATAAACAGTCAAAATAAACCTCTCCAGATGTTCAGCTCTCTTCATGCAGCTGTATTTGATGAGTCTTGATTCACTGTAATACATATTTCTTAGCAATGTGATCTTACAAATCATAAAAAGATGCAGCTAAAAATGGAATATCTATTAATATACAAACAGATTTTTTTCATTAGTTCCTGTCCAATCAGCACTTACTGACTCGAAGTAGGCACAGATCTGTCAATCTTTGGATTTCTCCTCATTTTAAGGTGGCTGTAGTAAGAGAGATTCTTGGCATATAAACAGTTTGGAGGGTGTTGATTTCAAAGGTGCAAGAATGGATTAAACACTGATCCTATCTGCTCTTTCACAGACTGCAGATGTTAGCATGTCTGCTTACAGTAGCTATTTTACTTGTGGTAACCTAATGTGAGTACTTCTTCCACCACTGTCATTTTATTAGTCAGGTACATTTTGTGGTGGTACGGATTATTTAAAAAAAAAAAAAAAACCCATACGGAACAAGCACACCTACCGTGTCGCTGTGTAATATTTCCCGACATCGTAAAAGCCCTTTTTATTACAATGTCAAAAGAGAAACGTGTGAAATATTAAGAATAAATAAACAGTATTATGTGATAACAAAATAATGATCGAATCAATGACCAGCAGTTCTGTTTTCAGCCTCAAAATATATGCTTCTGTTAAATGCATATTTTATGTAGTAAATCTCTAGCCACAGTTAGGCTGTCATTGTAAACTGCATTACAGTATGTGCTGTGCTAGCAGCAACAGCTTGACAGGAACAGTAACTAAGGGGGCGGTTCAGTTTACCTCAACACATTACCTCCACTAAACATAACTGACTAACCGAGGCTCAAACATTTCATGAGTCCATATATTTGCCTTTAAGAAAGCACTACGTCTTGTCCTTAAGAGCCAAGTAAGCATAAAGCCATAAATACAGACAGGGGTTGCCAGCAGCATAATTTTTATCAGTCCCTGCAGAGTGGCAGTTCAACAACAAACTGAAATGACTGTTTTGTTGCCTGCTGCCATTTCTAATGGCATTACTACTTATTACTTTTAATCTCCCTTCAAAACTGGCTCAGGAAACAATGGCAATTTCTGGAAACACTGTTAAAACAGTTGCTGTAGTCCTTTTCTTATCTGCAAGTCACAGAGGGAGAGAGGAAAATAAATAAATAAAAAAATTGTTACTGAATTGGTAAGGAAGTGAAGTTGTGTGGAATCTATCCTGAGATACACACACAAACATACATCTCCCTGCTGTGTAGTATACGAAGTACTGTACCCTAACTGTATCATAACACCTTCCCCATGGGAATACACAGCAGATCTCAGTGCCTCGGGGTGTTGCTGGGCAAACATTCCACATGAAGGAACAACTTTTAAGTCCTCAGAGAACCCCATGATAGGCGTACTGTTTTTAACATGCTAGGGAAACCACCAACAGCAACAAACATGTAAATCAATCAGGCATTCCTCTCTTCAATGTTCCTAAGTATAAAGAGAAGTCTAAGGATTGGATGCCTAAAATCTTGTCCCCAAGTGTTATAACCTGTCATAATGAGCAGACAATGTCTAGTACAGAGTACAACAAATGGCTGTGGTAATCCCGCAGGCTACTTCCCGCAGACACTTTCCACCTCCCACTCTGCCTGTATACTTTTTCTTTCATGAAAATGGCTCTCCTAGCAAGTGACTCCAGTTTAATTCAGGAAAAAAAAAACAATGCAAAGCCTACTAAAGGTCACAGCCAGCCAGCATCCATTGTGGATCTACAACAAAGATCCCTTATGGTGCCTGCAGGTTGATTTACTAGTAATGAGCCATGGGAGGTGAGTGAGGCAGAGCTGCAGGTCGCCGTATACAGTATATACCATTCAGAGCGACCAAATGAAAGCATTAAACTTGAATGGTTACACTGCCATCCCTACTGAAGTCTGCTTTAAAGTAAGCAGCACACAGAGACACAAACACCTTTGTCAGCTGTAAACCTTCATGTTGCAGCTTAGAGGATACACTGTACTAAAAGTAACTGCTAACTAAAAGTAATTGCTAAGATTTGGAAACATGGTGGCAATGCTGCAAAGAATTGGGGGAAATAGACAAGAGCAATCAGATGATCAAACAGCCTGTAAATAAGGCAACAGCCTGGACAGCTTATCTAAACCACTCTCAAGCTGCATGAGTCGAAAGGAACAACAATGACTGTTGATATCACGCCATCCAATGGCTGTTGTCAGTTGTTATAGGGAGTATAGATGTGGGTTAGTAGGACCCTATTCCACCTCCTAGTTTTGTGATGCACATAATGTCTTGCCATCTCAGCCTTTGCTGCTGACACACAGCCATTAGTCATCATTTGAACAGTCCTTGTTGAGATCCTTGTCTAACCACATTATTTATAGGTAAAACCTGAACATGAACACAACCAAAATGTAATGTAATGTCCTCTCACTGCACAGGACACCTACAATACAATAAATATGACAGGCCAAACTAGATGCATGCCTGAAGCTGTGAAACGTGTTTACAACAAACGCTTTAGGTAATGATTTTACCATCTTTATCCAACCTTGGAGATTGCATGCTTTCTCGACTTTTTAGCAATATTGTTGCATTTTCAGAGAAGCAATTAACTTGATGAAAACAATGTTAGCATTACTGACACAAAGCTACAAAAACAAGGCCCAAGTTGCTGTGTAACTGAAAGTGATATCCTAAAAGCCCAAACACCTACCCAGCATAGAGAGAAGTGGTGATAATTAGCAACATTATTTTACAACGTCCCCTTGGTTTGATGTGTCGCAGTGGTTGGAGCTTTACTTGAGAGCCATGTGTTGTGTATTTCCTGTGTATTTCTTGTGATGCAAGACTCCAGAAATGCAAGTCTCTTGTGCATGCTCCACTACCAGTGGCCAGAAAAACAGCTCTGCGGATTAAGCCACCAGAGCCATGGTGTTGACTAGTCAAAACACATTTTGCTGTCTGAAGACTAGAACTGCAGCTGAGGAGTGACCCCCACACTATTTATTTCTCCTTTACTTTCTATCTACATATCAAAAGACTCAACCTTTAATGAGTAAGAGGAAGAACTGTGGCCTTAAAAGTAATAAAACTCATAAAGCATGCTAATGTTTTACAATAAATGCCTTAAGTATCAGTTTTATTTTAGCCACTAAAACCTAAACAGTTGAATTAAGTGATTTAAAAATGTCACTGGTAACATTTATGCTGATTGATTATGGTTCTGATGATAGTATAAATCAGGAATATTATGTGCAGTAATGGAAGTATCAAGCCTGACTATGTTGTTGCAACAGCCAATCTGTTTGAATTCACTGTTGGGCTTTGTAACCATACGGCTCTTTTCCAACACAAAAAGCTCCTGGGGATAAATTACCTGATAATGAATAGCTTCCCCTGCTGCGCTATGACTCATCAAACTCCCTTCATCTCTTTTGTATATCCTTGGCCCTTTATAAAGCACATCAGTCATAGCAATAACACTTTAGTTGTATGAGAGAGCCCCAGAGAAAACAGCAAGCATTCAATCAATTCTGGCAATTTGTAGGCAGGTTTCACACTATTCCTGATCAGATCAGATCACATCGCATCGGGAGCCACAGCAGGAGTTGCCACGTGGGGATCTTATGTGTGTGTTGTGCACTTCAGGGCTCTTATGTTACCTTCTGTGCTCTTAAGGTCAAGATAAAATTTTACTTAAATGAAAGTACAAAAGTATTAGCATCAAAATGTACTTATGACATGAAGTCAAAGTCTGAAGTAACAGAAAATACTCAAGTACAGATACCTCAAGATATCAGACACCTGTTCTTAAGTACAGTACTAAATGTAGCTGGTTACTTTCTACCACTGCACATACACAGTGTGAGGTTTAATACATTGCTATTTATTGTTTATTTAATGTCAAAGTTGATTTACTAGTCACATGTAGCCTGTGAAAACAATTGGAACATATCCTCTGCTGCTCTGGAGAGAGTTTTGACAATTCTGACTCAAGTGACATTACTGTAATTCAGTAATCTAGGTAGGGCTTGGAGACGCGGCATTAAAGTCTGGTATGACATGGTTGTTTACAAATTAAAAAAAAAAAAGATTCTAGAAATGATTTGTTTCCTAGAAAGACTGCATGCACTGGAGAAAGAGCTCCAAATTCCATCCATTTTCTATACCGCTTAGCCCCAAAGATGGTCACAGGGGGCTGGAGCCAATCCCAGCCAGCTGCGGGTGAGAGGCGGGGTACACCCTGGACAGGTCGCCAGTCCATTGCAGGGCTTACACGCAGACGAACAACCACTCACACAGACAATCACTCCTACGGGCAATTTAGAGACACCAGTCAACCTATGCTGCATGTCTTTGGACAGTGGGAGGAAGCCAGAG